TGTGCAGCAGCATAAGTCAGCCCGGTAATATTTTTCAATAAGTGAACGTATATATGATCAATAACTCCTGAAACAGAGAACTCGTTTTAACACGTTACGACACCCAGGAGCTCCTCTGAGCTGTAATCATCACTCTCACAGGTACTTTGCTTTAATGCTCAGCCTGGATTTTTTTTCAACCTATGAGAAATGTTCTTCTGCTTTTATCATAACTGTTACTAATCGTTAGTTTATTGATAGTAAGATATTCGATACATTTGAAGAGTAAAAGGATGCCAGAGAGTCAAAAGTCTTTATTTTTAGCACAGTGTTTATAGAATGCACACCTTTACTGATGCTTTAATACTGCTGTCCTGTCCAGTTTTTTAAATAGTCATTGATACTCTTTCAAAGATGCAAAAAATATTTTCTTAAGGAGTTGAAAAAAAACCTTTAGTGGAATATAGGCTGTAAGAAGTCCCATACTGGAAACCTGATTTGCACTTCTTTTCTCTAATAAATTTGTACTATTTGTTTTACCATTCCAGATTTGGCGTAAATGTGTATGAGTTTGCAGTGTGCACCAACCTATTTCAAGCCCGGATTGAAGCTCAGAAAGTTTGTTGATTGTCGTTTATGGGGATTTACAGTAAACATTCAGCTGTGTCTTGTCCTGACATGACTTCCACACTGGGAATTTCTCGTCCTTCCACCTGCTGTCTTGTCACACCCGTCTGCTTGTGGTTTCCAGCCCACAACAGCAGGGGAAATGGCGGAAAAAAACACCCTCATAGACACGATGTTTCTTTAACCTTCTCCCTCACTTTTTGTTGCTTTTTCCTGCGTGCTGGAAACCCTCCCTGGTCGTCGCAGGTGACACCTTATCTGACTTCCCCCTTTTGGGAGTCTCTGGGGGTTTGTTTTGTCTGTACGGAGACACTGAGAACCCAAGCACTCTGAGTTGAACCTGAGGCTGTCACAACACACCTCCAGGGATCCACTGTTGCATCTCGTTCCCTCCAGAAACACTCATACTTTCCCACAAACCAGAGAAACAGGAAAAGAGCGACGCCGTCTGATTTCACTGCCGTTTTGAGCTCATCCATCACTCTCAGTGGCAGCTTTACAGATTTCCCTGTGCCGCCTTTATGACTTGCAGCCTTTTCAGTCCCTTCATTAACCCCCCAACCTTAGTAATTAAAAAGATAAATATCAACCTTTACACCCACACACGCACACACACAGAGACAACATTTCTCTTTCAAACACTTGCTCTGTGACACCAACCCCTGACTTTGTCAAGCCAACTCCTCCAAAGCACACGCTGAGTCACTGCCCGGACATGTCTGCCCGCCTCAACCACAGGCAGCCTGAGTGGGCTGAACAAAAACCTACACACTCACTTCACCTCAAACATATACTGCCAGACAACAAAGAGAGGAGCCCCCAGAAACAGGAGGGGGCGGGGGGGGGGGGGGAGGGTTTGGGAGCGGTTTCAATCAAACAGAAGCCATCAGGCCGTTCAACACACGTGCTCCTTTTGTCTGCTTTGAGGTCAGGAGTTTGAGCCGACCACCGCATCCGGTCCCTGTGTCAACACCCGGTCAGGGGTGATTTAGCGTGCAGGGCGTGGAGCTGTTTAAGGTGAATCAGGTGGCTATGTCTTTGTTTCCGTCACCTCTGTCGGCCCCCACGGTGAAGGGTGAGCCCACGTGGAGTTCGGGCCAGCGGGTCTGGGCCACACAGAGCGGCGGTCAGCGAGCACAGAGCTGTAGGAGACAGGGATGAGGGGCAAGCCAAAAAAAGTCTGAATGACCAGTAAAAAGGAGGGGCAGCACAGTGGTGTGGTGGTTAGCACCATGACCTCACAGCTAGATGGTTCTGGATTCGAGTCCCCGGGGGGAACCAGGAGTCTGCGTGTTCTCCCTGTGTCTCTGTGGGTTCTCTCCGGGTTCTCCAGCTTCCTCCCACCATCCAAAAACCTGCATGTTAGGTTGATTGGACATTCCGAATTCCCCTTAGGATCGTGTGTGAGTGTGATGGTCCTTGTGTGTCTCTGTGTGGGCCTGCGGTGGACTGGCTGGCCGTCCAGGGTGTGCCCCGCCTCTCGCCCATTGACTATAGGGATATGCTCCAGTCCCCCCCCCTTCAGAGAATGGAAGTAGAAAGGAAAGCACTTAGTAGGTGCCTTTCGTGCCCTCAGGCTCGTTACACGGGCTGATTTATCTGAAACGAGCGTCATGGCAACACGTGGAGCGTTTGGTGCTGCCGCTCTGACATGGGCAGAGTGAGGGGTCAGGTGACCGGCAGGGTGACTCTGTGGTCAGGAGCAGTTTAAGGACTGTAGAGAGGGGAGTGGCGTGATGATAAGACCGCAGCAATATCAAAGGGCACCAGAGCGTCATCTGCAGAACGCAGATTTCTGTTTCTATTTCTCAGTGGTTCTGGATGTTATACAAATCATGGGACACCTGTGAAACTGTAACAGAGCTTTCAAAGCTTTTTTGTTTCTGGATAAAACTGAAGCCGTGGCCACATTGTCCAAATAATATAAAACTTTAAAAAAAACATACCTTTGTTAATGAGCTAAATTAATGTGTCACAGAGGCTTGACTCCTTACAGTCAGCATTTAATGTGATTAGTCTAGCTATTCGTTGTTAATCACATTTGAAGGAATATTCAGACTATTCCTAATTGCTCATCTACCTTATATGTGTCAGTCCTGAACATTAGTCGGGCCGTGATTAAAGCTGTGTGATTTGGCTTAGCAGTACTGTGATTTTATTTTGTCAAATAAAAAACCTGAGCCTGTAACTCACACTGAAACATTTATTATGACTGCAAAGTGATAGTGTGGATTCATTTTCTCTATGTTTGCTATTGTTTTTACATATTTTTCTGACCAACACAAACGTTAGACTTTTTGCCTGCATCCTCCTGCTGAACTACGTGCCTGAAGCTGAAGGCGTCCTGCTGTCTGAGCTGCTGACATCAGTCTGATGACGGTGTTCTCTACATGGAAATGGCTTCTGGGTTGTTTGGGTGCATTTTTTGTACTTTTACCACCCGGAGACAGTTGTGAAAGCTTTTTTAAGTGACACACAACTGACCTGAAACATGTTTGGTCAATGGTCAGACTTTGAAATAATGCTGGGTGACCTAGTATTTTTCCTTGATAAAGGAAATAAACTTGAAAAGGTTTTTTAAAATACATGTACATGAATATTTATACATTAGAATATCTGTGAGGATTCTCAAGTCATCCAGGTCATGGTCAAGCTTGAAAGTTTAGTTTAGGCAGGAATAACTTCCAGTTGCCTAACCTGAAGTTTTCAAGCTTATATTTGAGAATATCCGGGATGAATCTGCCTTTATTGTTGGTCAGGGTGTCTTTTACGCACGCCGCCTAGTCTAGTAGGCACATCTGGTGATTACCCATTTTATACGGAACTACTCCTGCAGAGTGAGCACATATCTGGACCCACTCCACGGTAGGATGTAAATTACTCATTAACATTTGGGCTGTGTAATAAGGTCCACATTGGGACTTCCTCCCCGCCCGCAGCGCGCCTTCCGCCCACGCTCTGCCTTGAATTACTCCACTGGCAACTGTTGATGCATTCCCCAACTATCTGACGTCAAGTGGGAAGGGCTCACGCCAGAGCACGCTATAAAAAAAAAAACCCGAGGCACCTCGGGTTCATTCACAGCTGCGCTCTGGATTACCGCAAAGCGTGGTGGAGAGGCTCCTTCCTCTGGCTCTGCCGGCGTCTCATCAGCGAAACGGAGGCTCCCCCCCACAAACAACCCAACACAGGCGAGAAAATGAAAATGTCCGCGGCGGAGATCGACCAGGTTCTCAAAGAGGGAGAGCTGGAGAAGAGGAGCGACAACCTGTTCCAGTTCTGGAAGAGGAAGACGTGCGTGCTGACCACGGACAGCCTGAACATTTACGCCGACCAGCAGAAGCGCTCCAAGGGCAAGGAGCTCAAGCTGCAGTCCATCAAGACGGTGGACTGCGTGGAGCGCACCGGCAAGTTCGTCTACTTCACCATCGTGACCACGGACAATAAGGAGATCGACTTTCGGTGCTCCGGGGAGAGCAACTGCTGGAACACCGTGATCACCATGGCCCTGATCGACTACAAGAACAGGAAGGCCATCGAGGGCTTTAAGACGCAGCAGGACGCGGACGCCGCGTCGCCGGGTCAGCAGGAGAGACGCATGGCCAGGGCACCCTGAGGCTCGACTGGACATGGGCAGTTAACTCCTCCTAATATGGTGAGAGGCGCACCGGATACACGGGACCGAAACTCTCTACACACGATACACAGACACGAGCCATAACCATCCAACGCGTGACACACGATCCGTTTGACACGAACCAGAGACTAACGGCGTTTTGTGTCCTCTCTCCCCCCTTTTTTTTTTAGTGTCATGACGGACCACTGAAAAAAAAAATGCGGACCAAAAGGAAGACGAGGTCATCCGGTCCAGAGATGAAGGACTGTTCGGGACTGAGACCCCGGACAAACGGGGCGACTGCCTCACTCTGACAGACGGACTTTCAGAAGCTCCAAACGGGGACTGAACTCCTGAGCTGTCAAACCAATTTCATGTTTGCCCTCCAGGGAGAAATGACCCCAAAAACCAACATGTTAATTTATTTTGTTTCCAGAATGTGGTGTTCCTGGCAAACAGCTTGTGTTTAAATTATTTGCTATTTGAATGTGTGTTGTGTATTTATTTGAATAAATATGTGCTTTTGACATAACAGCATTTGTATCTTTTTCTTTTTTTGTCTTAACTTCCGGCGCCAAACAGACTTCCTCCTGCTCTTAACGTCTAATATCATCAGGAACTGCATATCTGACACGCGGCGACACCTTTCACCAGCAGCATTTCTTCATAAATGCCTGACGTGCAATCCTAGATAGGGAGTGGGGGACAGGAAAGTCCCTTTCCGCCCTGCCGTCAGGTGGAATGTGACTCTTTATTTTCACAGGGAGTGTTTCAGTAATGAGTCATGGCCGATAGGCAGAATCAGTCAGCAGCAGCGGACACTTAAGAGAACACACCTGCTTCCGAGGAGTGGAGGGGTTATTGCACCTGATGAAATCCACAGAGGAGATACAGAACACACATGTACTGTATCTCCTCTGGATTTAATCAACTATAGGTACTATGTTATAGTCCAAGAGAAATAAAATAATTTAAACTAGAACCATTTGTCATGTGAATTAATTAGTAGGTATTCTTATTTCGAAAAACTGACAGAGCTGTCCAAGCTTTGATGGAATAGCTTTTATCTACACTGTTCTTATCTCAGGCCTCTGTTCTTCAAAAGACTCATGAGTCAGACAGGCCGTTCTGTTATCTTGTCCGGTTTGACCGGACATAACGGGGCAAAAGCCACACACCTATTTTACAGATTGGAAATATACTGTCAGTATGACAAAGATTAAAAACCGGATGTCATCAGGTGAAAAAAAAAAAGGTTTGTTAGAATGAAAACCAGACTGAATTACAATTAGATCAAACTGTCGTGTTCGGCTGTGACAGTCACAGAGTTACGTTCAACAAAAGAGCCTTATTGGACTTTGGCAATAAAGTCAACTGCCAGTAATAAAAATGACTTTTCAAAGAAAAAGATAATCAGTTTAGCGTTAGCATGTGTACAATCAACATGTAAGGATAAGTGCTCGAATCTAAACTAAAGGAAACTCTACACAAATAAAAAATACCACTGATCCCAGAAATGCTATTTCGCTCTGCCAAAGCAGGTCCTGAAAAGAAAAAAAAAACCTCTGCAGGAGGGTTTCCAGTATGGGAGTGAGGTTTAAAGCGCTCTGTGCCCTGGGCTCCACTCCACTAAAATATCTCCAGCTGAGGATTTTGTGGAGTGGAGGTGTGCAATGAGCGCAAATGTGCAGAGTTCAGAGGTGGCCGAGTGGAATAATGAAGCGCATCGTGGAGTCGCCCACCCCCCTCCCCGCTCCATCCTCTCCGCGTGTGCGGCTTTGAAGTGGGATCATGCTGCCATGAACGCATCAAAGCCGTGATCTGTGAAGTATTACAGGAGCGGGCAGGCCGTCTTTCTAAAAATACCGCTTCGCAAATTGGCACCATGTTAATCTCACACACAAACGCACCTTTGGCCTCTGAGCCCAGGGCCACAAAGGGGCTTTTGCCGCCGTGGTGCCAGTGATCCCCAAACGAGAGCTCTATAAGAGAACATCCAGCCAGGTTTTTTTGTTTTAGCTAACCCCTCAAAGACGGCTCTGAGCAGCGGTTTTAGGAGAAGAAACCAGACGTCATAATCTGCTCTACGTCTGGCCACAGAAAATGAAGCACCACCACCACGCTGCATGCACTCAAGTGCTGTCTCCATGTCCGATCTCAGGCCGTGTAAACATCCTGTGACTCAGCACCAGCACACACACTCAGGCCACGGTTTGTCATTCAAGCAGCGTTTAATAAAAGCAGAGGGTGGGAAAGAGTGGCCACGCCAGGGCTGACGGCCGCAGTCCTGAGCAGGAAAGAGCCGGTCATTCGGAGGCGTTTGTGGAAAAAGGCAAGATGCCGCGCTGATAAGACGGGGCGGGGTGTTGTCAGGTGAGGGTCGGCCGCCAGAAAAAACATATTACGCTGCGTTTTATCACCCACAATAAACTTAACAACCCGCCCGCGCACTCCCGCCCTTAACAGCCGTCATTTATTCCTATTTATCAACACAAATAGAGTGATATCACTATTCGAGAAGAACTTGTCTCCACATGACACAGGGCAGTTTGTTATATCTTCGTTATAAATGACTCCGTCTTCACATTTATTTGAGAGGTAGCCGGATTCCTGTGGGCTGATTTAGTTGTTGGCCATTGAAAAGCCTCTGATATGGCATTTGTATTAACAGGTGCACAACCGAATAGTGTTGACGTAATTCAGGATTTAACGTTATTGTCTCGATTCTTTAGAAAATGTAACAAAAAATGTACATTTAGCGAAAAAACGGATAACTGATTTGTGAACTTTCTTAAATATTAAAGGCCAGTGACTACGTGCCTTGTATCACAGACACCTGACTGGTAAAGTGAGGAAGGAGCTTCCAAGGCCGAATGAGCTGCTGTCAGTCCTTGCTGCAAATCTCCTGACTGTAAATGAAAATGGCAGCCCCCTAATTGTCATGAAAGACACATAGGCGTGGGGCATTGCTCAGTTGTCTATGAAGCCCGTTCCACCCAGAAAAACAGCGATTTGCCTAATGATCACACATTACCAAGTATTAATCACACAGGCCCCAGCCTCCCATTCACCCATTAAAAAAAACACTTTCACACGACACTTCTCAGTAATTAAAAAGGCATTTAAGTTTATGTAATTTAGAGACAGAAAATGAGGACAGATTTAATCATATAGTCAGAGCATCCACTGTTCACTGTGTTGATGCCGTGGTTTAAGCTTTGAGCCGCCCCTCAGGCCTATTATCATGTGAGGGGACTGCATGGAAACAGATTTAAAAGTCAAAAGCTTCTGTGTCTGGGTTGGGAAATAAAATATTCTATAATTGTTACTATTTACCATTCGCTGGACCAAAAAAAATGACTCAACTTTTACATTCAGCCTTAACTTGGGTGGCCGTGGTGCTGGTCAACACTGAGTGGATATTACAAACCACTTCTCTGAGGTGTGCGTCACGACTCATTACAGCATGAGAATGAGGGGATCGCTCCTCTTCCCCTGAATCGCCGCGTTGCAGAAACCTCCGCCCGTGTGTCTCGTTCTTCCCGTAAGACTCTTATCTGACGCCAGAAGGAAACAACACTGATGCCTCACGTAAATAAAAGCCCTCCGTAGCCCAAACAGACGCAGGACAAGGCCTGTGGAGGCGGTCCGGTTACGAGCGGCCTCCGAGAGTCTGGGAACTCCGGACGCCGGCCATTGTTCCCGGATGGGCTTCAAACGTGTGGTTATGTGTGAAAAGACCGAGCTCATGTGTCCTTTCTTTAAGCCCTCGGAATGGGATTGTCTCAGAGAAGCGCTATTCACCGACTCGTTTTACTGGAAAGAACCTTTGTAGGAATTTCGCTTTTGTGACGCATGACTCAGGTGAGTGAATACCTGGGAGCATACTTTCACAAAACACACGCCCTCGGGTTATGGCTGGCGGGACGTGAAATCCCCTGTTAGCGTCAACCGCAGGCTTCAGGCTTAAAGTGAGGCTGCGAGGAAGTGCCCGACCCAATGCTCAACGCTGATCCTCATCCCGTTTCACTAATAAAGGTCATTCGATTCCCAGATCTGGGTTTGGGTGAAAACATGAGCAAATTCCCTCCCCGGTTTCATCCACAAAGGGGTCTTTCTCCCTATCGGCTGCAGCCATGGAAACCTCGTTTGTTTGTTTTTATCTGACATTAATTTCTAACTGCTGAGTCACGTAGAGAGGTCTTCCCTGAGTCACTGCTTCAGTCGTACACCCACCCTTTCGTAACTGGTCGTAACAGTGGCCATGATATGACAGTAAATGTAAAGATATGGAGAAACACAACGCTTCTGTGACACAAATCCCCAAACTCTTCCCCCGTCCGTTTCCAAGAAATTCCCTGCAGCCGATTGTTGGTCTGCACCCAAAAACACATTCTCTATTTCCCAGAAGCATGAAGACTTCACATATGTAAGATAAACACTGATTCCTTACAGCACAGAAACAGCGTCTGTCTTACGGGGGATTTCTTTAACGGCCGATTTTCTCGTTCACGTCGGAGGCGTGTGCGCTGGTTGGAAATTCCTCTGTGCGCACGCGTGCAGTAAACACACACAGCACGTCCAGAGTGTTGGCAGGAGCTGCGCCGGTCAGCGGGGATCATGTTGCTCAAGACCCCAGCTGTCCAGAGAGAAGCCTCAGACAGAGAGAGGAGACACTGTCAGGAATGTCTGCGAGGCAGCGAGGGGGCGGAAGGCCGAGGACGAAAGCGCCCGGCGTGCTGGCTGTGGCCTCGGGAAGAGGGCAGCACAGAGATCAGCATCAGAGAGGGCCACTCAGAAACGTCAGACTACACTCGGGAAGACAAAAATATTCAGCTTTGCCCCTTCCACTTTAAAGGAGGTAGAAATGTTTCTGCTTCTGACTTTGTATGATTTCCAGAACTGAAATTAACCGTGGCAGAACAGGCCTTTACTTTTCTTTTTTTTTGTTGGTCATACTGGCCGGAAACAAAAAAAGCCAAACTACTTATCAGCAAAGTAGGTTTTTAATGTATGTTCTTCCACCCGGTTGTGGAAATCCCTGCATCCAGGAATTGAAAATGTAAATAAAGTTTTTAGGATTAGTCAGCAGATAACAGTCATTGGTAAGTGAGGGATTTTAGTGCCAAATAGAAATCTATAGTTATGTCGTCTCATACTGAAAGGAAAGGAAAGATGAATATCTACTCCATATCTCACCAGGTCATACATGTCATGAATACAGCCGAGAAATTGAATGCCCAACCGATTCTTACTGAACATCGGATGGACAAAAGTGGTGAGCTGACCGAGCCACACGTGTACTGGAACCTCTGCTGGATAGTCGGATCAAATCTGTCCATTTTAATCAAAGCAACAAAGTTAAATGTTCGAGAGGAAGTGCTGCTCCTAGAATTTCAATTTAATTTTTAACAAATTCTGGAGTTTTCAATAGAAAAAGACAGAGATTTTCAGAATAGTTTTTCCACGTTTAGAGACAATGATAAAAAAAAAAGCGTTTGGTTTGAAACAAGAGGTCCGTCGGTGATTCCATTCAGAAGTCCAGTTGTTATCCTTCGACACG